ATGACCTGGCCTCTTCTCGTCTGTCTGAAACCACTTTCTTTGCCGTTTTCTTCTCATTTGTCCTGGGTCTAGTTGACTCAGGGGTGGTCCACCACCACCCCCCTGGAACGCCAGCCCCTCGGGGCTCACTCCCGGTCCCAGCACACATCCTCAGTGCACACAGCAGTGAGCGCAAAGAGCACGGCTCCTATCCCACCCTCGTGTTCCAGAGGAGGAATCCGAGGTTCAGAAAGGTCTGGAGCCTTGTTCAAGGTCACAAACGGAGGGAGTAGCAGAGAGGGTCTGGGGGCTCCTGCCGGTTAACGTGGGTGCCTGTCCCACAGTGGCCACAGCCCGAGCTAGCCCCTGCCTCCTGAGGCACCCTCCGGTGAGTCCCCACCCCTGGAAGGGCCCAGGTTCACGCCTTCTGATAAAAAGATCAGGGAGAGCAAGGGTGTCCTTGTCAAGAGTGGGCCAGGAAGACGGCTCCTGTCTGGCTGGCCATCTCTCCCCACTTTCCTCTCTGAGGAGCTGCACCCTGGGGAGCCCACCTGGCAGAGCTGCAGGCAGCGCTGGCCAACAGTCCAGTAGCCCAGGGGACACTGAGTCCAGCCACGAGCACTGGGTGAGCTGGGTGCAGATCCTCTCCCCAGCCTTCAGCTGAGACCTCCGCCCAGTGACCCGGTGATGGCAGGTTCGTGAGTCCTTGAAACAGAGGAACTGAGAAAGGGGGGCGCGTGGGGTTTGAGCCCAGAGTGTTCTGCATCTGAGCCCTTTTTTACTTTTACTTTTGAGTCAGGGTCTGGCCAAGCTGCCCAGAGAGGCCTTGAATTTGAGACCCTCCTGCCTCAGGCTCCTGAGAAGCTGGGATCACGGGGTTTGCTCTGGAGCCTGGTGTGGGTGCTGCTCGGAGTCCCTGAGGACTGCTCTCCAGAGTTAGAAACAGTTTCCCTGTCGGCCGCTGACACGTGTGCCAGCATCCCTGTTTCACAGATGGGGAAACCGAGGCACAGGGTGCTGCTGTCTGCTTTGGCTGGGATGTGAAGTCACACTCCAGCCACTACTCGACCGTGGCGGCCAACTTGTTCCATAATGGTGCATCTGTGGACAGCCCTCTGCCACCTGCACCCTGGGCCCAGTCTTCATGCCCCCCACAGTGAGGTCTCAGCCACTGCAGTGCTTGGTCCTTCTCCCTTGCAAGCTGCAGTCTGGCCAGGAGTGGATGGACACCCTCCCTGACCTTCGGCCACTCCTGCCTCTCCCTCCCCTGCAGGAGCTTCCAGCCGATGACCCTGCACACCACCCGATGACCCTGCAGCAGGGCCACCTGCAGAGAGGGGAGACAGGCACAGGGCGGGCAGCATGACAGGCTGCCCCTGCTCCCCTGAACGCCTGGGGAAGGGGTCCTCCTTTCACCCCCCCCCCGAGACTTGTGGGGAGCTCCTGGAGCTGTTCCCCCCGGGGCGTCCTCTGTCGCAGGCCGTCAGGAGGACCACACTCCCTACAGTGGCCCCGCAGCGTCCCCGGCTCCCGTCCCCCACCACTTCTCTGTTTCTGACAATTGAACGGGCGTCCAGTTCTCCCCTTGGGGACTCAGGCAGCCGTGTGCCTGCAGGGGAGGTGGATGTGCAGGGACACTCACAGGCTCGGTCCTTGCGCCTTCCGTCACTCATCCTTTAACCAGCACAGCGCTGCCCGAGGAGGCTGATGCAGAGAGCCTCATTTCTGCAGTTGGCCCCCCTCCTCCGACCCCACTACACACGTGAATGTGGATTGAACCCAGGGGCGCTCAGCCACCGAGCCTCATCCCCCGCCCTATTTTGTATTTTATGTAGAGATAGAGTCTCACTGAGTTGCTCAGCGCCTGGCCCTTGCTGAGGCTGACTTGGAAATCCTCCTGCCTCAGCCTCCCACACCGCAGGGATCACAGGCTTGCACTACCTGCTGGCTCACACGTTCATTCTGAGAATTCGCTCACGGGGCCGGGAGCCCTAGATTCCCGGTGCTGGCCATTTGCGTCTCCGGCTCCCGCAGCACACGACCCTGCTGGTCGGACGGTCCTGTCGAATAGATGTGCGGCACAGCCTCCGTGACTGCCCGGCCATCGGTCCCGCTGTGTGAGCACGGAGCTTGTATTTGTGCACAGAGTTTTTTCCTGTTGGTTGATGTTCATATTCACAGTGCAGCGGATGGAGCCCAGGGGTGTTTTACCGCTGAGCCACATCCCCAGCCCTTTTTATTTTGAGACAGGGTCTGGCTAAGTTGCTGAGTCTGGTCTTGAACTTGGGACTTGGGACATAGGGGAACTTTAAATGCATGTGGTCAAGTGAAAGAAGCCGGGCAGCGGGGAGCCTGCTGACCCCTACTTGAGCTCTGGAGAAGGAAGAACCTCAGAGCCCGTGGGCCTCAGGGGTGCCAAGGGTTGGGGCAGGGAGGCGGAGGGCAGAGGGTGTGGAAACCACCCTGAACTGTCAGGGCCCACCCCCCAGCACACCTCTGTCCCAGCCCACCCTGCGCCAGGGTCGCCAGAGTGAACCCTGAGAACCCTGGGCTCTGGAGATGACCTGTCACCGGACTCAGAGACCAGGGAAGGGCCGCCCAGATGGAGGTGTTGGTAACCAGGGGGGCCCGCAGCGGGGCAGGGGGTCTTCTGGAGATCTCTGTGCGATCCACTCCCCTTTTCTGTGAACCTAAAACTGCTCTAAGGGATGAAGTCCATTGATTTTTTTAACAAGGAAAGAAAACCACGGATCAAGAGGGAGATTCGGAGGACCCCTACTGGAAAGAGCTGTGTTCGGGCGGAGGAGGAGGTCAGAGCTCACAGGACCTGGGTGTCCAGGTCAGCTGCCCTGGGGCCTCCCCCAGGCCAGGCCGGTGGCTTTGCTGCCATGTCACGCACACGCCATGCCGTCCACCCGCGGGAGGTTGGCAGGGGTGGCATGGCCACCGGGTACAGCCGTGGCCACAGTGGGTCTTAGGGTGCTGCCACCCATCCCCAGCCTTGCCCCAGCACCCCCTCCGCCTGCCTGGCCCTCCGCTGCAGCTCAGAACCTGCCTGCTTGCTGCCCGGCAGCGGGCCTGGGGCTCAGCATTACGGAATGGCTCTCCTTGCTCTACCTGGAATCCCAGGAGGCTGGGTGGCCTCTCCTGTCCTCGGTTGGCTCTCTGTCCCCCTCCTGGGTCCCAGCGGGACTGGTGGGAGGCACTCCTGGGCTCCCTCTGGCCCACAACTACAACAGGAGCCCCTGTTTCCTAACTGCCTGCAGAGCCCCTACAGCCCCCGGAGGTGACAGAGGTGACAGCTCCTCTGCTGCCAGGGCTCAGCAGGCGCAAGGCCCCAGGAAGTGTGGGGAGGCTGAAGGCCACCAGAGAACTCCACAACCTTGACCTACACGTGCCCCCAGCTCCCCAGCTCCCGGCAGCCAGAGGCCAGGGTGTGAAATGCAGTCCGCTCCACTTGACCCGCAGCAGGACACGGGCAGGGGACTTAATCTCTGTGAGTCGCTCTTTCCTCAACTATCAAACACAGCTAAGAATAGCGCCTCTCTCCCCAGGGCCGCTGGGAGGCTTAGCACAGGGGCTGGTGAGATGCAGAGTTCAGTAAATACAAGCTAGAATCACCGCTAATCGCGTAGGATTTACGAAGCCATTACGAAGCCGCTGCGCTTGGCCTCCGCCGCTCTCCTCACGGCACACTCGCTTCCTGAGACCAGGGAGAGAAGCCAGCTTGCCCCGCGCACGCACTCTGAGTCCTTCCTTCCGTGTGGCCAGGGGTGGGGGTGAGATGGGCGCAGCAGGAGATAAGGGGCAGGTGCGGGCTCCAGAGGGCTCCGCGCTGGGGAGGTTGGACTGCATCCCTAGGGCAGAGGGCTGCGTGGAGGCCACTGGGATGGGTCCGAGGGAGCATGCGAAAGCTGCCTGGGGTGGGGCGTGAGGCTGGAGGGGGGAAGAGGCTGCAGCAGTGGGCCACGTGGCAGGGACGAGGTCTGGAGAGCGGTCACTGGGGATGGAGACGCCCCTATTCTTGGCCAGTGGTCTCCAGACTTCCAGAGGGTTCCTTGGTGGATTGCAGTGGGGGGCTTCAGTCCCAAATAAATTGGGTGAAAATGATCTCAATGACGTTGACTTCCACCGGGTGCCAGGACTCTCTCTGCTCAGAGCTGTCTGTGAACTTGAACTTGCAGACAACACCCCACTGGCAACTCTGAGTCAAGCAGGGAGAGAGGGTCGGGTTTCCTGACAACTTTCCCATCGATGATGGACACAGAGCCTTGCTCCAGCCTGCACTTCTGTTTAAAGACTCCTTTTAAACACCTTGTGGAGCCCCCGAGTTCCCAGCCGCAGCACTGCAGCTGGTGTCTGAAGGAGGCTGACCGGACAAGGGGCTTCCTGAGTCCTTGAGCCAGAGTGGACGCCTCTCAGCCTACACAGGTGGGCCTGGCAACCCCCGTCACCAGCAAAAAGTGCAAAAATGTGGGAATCGCAGCACAACCAGACCCCAGGACACCTGCTCGCAGGATGAGCTGAGAGCGTGACCCAGGCCAGCACTGGGCTCCCGTCGGGTGAAGCTCCATGCCACCCTGCAAAGGCAGTGTGAGCTTTTAGGTTCCTTCCCCCCTTTATTATATTTTTTTAACTTTTTATTATTGACCAATAAAAATTGCTTGTATTTATGGCCGGCAACATGATGTTTTGAAATATGCACACATGGAGGAATGGCTGACCACAGGGACCACGACGCATCTGCACTTTTCATTGGTGCCTCACAATCACACATAGACGTGAAATTCCCTGCTGTCCATTTGTACCTGCACACAGCACACCACGTCATGGGGTCAGTTGCCTTCTCCAGCACCTGCCCTCCTCCCTCCCCGGCCCCGCCTCCACTCCACGGGTCTCACTTCCGTTTTCATAAGACTTTACACATTTATTTGCAGCGAGAACTACTTTGTCAGCCATTTTCAAGTATATGATACATTGTTATTGATTATAGCACTGGGTTCTGGATCTAGGAGTTAATGATGAATTTTAGGAAGTGGGTATATTCCAAGTATGAAATCCACGGACAAGGAGGGGTGGCGCATGGCAAGAGCGCGGTCGAGGCAACAGGAGGACGTAAGAGCCGGCAGGGAGACTCCTCCACTCCCCCTTCAACCTGGAGCCTGGGCCGCTTCCAGTCCCTCCCGGCTCAGAGCAGCCAGGTCTCAGGGCTGAAGAGCCCCAGGCGGCTAGCCGCTGTTGGACAGGGCGGCTTTGGCCAGCTTTCTCAGATCCTCCAGGGACTCGATGGACCCAAGACACATAGATCAGTAGCGGTGAGCAGCCTGCAGAGCGGGAGGCATGGTCTGGGAGAGCAGCGCAGTGGGCCTGCGTTTCCCCATAGGAGCAAGGGCTGCACCGCTGCGGGAAAGAGCACAGGGCTGGAGAGGCCCCTGTGCCCACCGTCTGAAGAAGGGGTGCCCCCAAGACAGCGGCAGCTCTGGGCTCTTGAACAGCCCCGCAGAGGGAACAGGGAACCTTACCCATGTGCCGAGCTGCTGGAGCCAAAGCCAGCCAAGGAGCCCCCACACATGACACTGTTTATGTGGCATCTGACAACTAGCAAGGCGACATGGGATGGGCCAGTACCCACGTAACTCAGAGTTTGTTAAAAATCAGATCATAGCCAGCACTTCACTTGGCCTGGTGTCCCATCTGGGAGGGAAGGGAAGGATCTGTACAAGAGGGGTCCAGCTGCATTTGGAAAGTCCTGTCTCCTCATCGCGAGGCCAACCTGGCGCTCACTGCATGCTGAGAGGCGTCCTCACGGTGGACATGTCTAAGACAGCTCTCTAGGTGGGGAATCGTCACCAGGTTGGGGCTGGGTGCACACTGCTCCCGCTGGAGGCGTGAAGAACTGGGTGTGGCCTGCCTGGGCTTCAGGAAGTAGGAGTTCCAGTGCCACAGGGAAGATGAGGGTGGCCCTGCAGATGGCCCTGCAGGCCCACGGCCCCCCAGCAGGCGCTGGCCCGCAGCGGAGGCACAGTGTGATCATGAGTCCGTATCTGGGGCTGAGGTCCGGGTTTTCTCCCGTCTACATTCAGTGAAAGGGACATGGCAGCGCCCAGAAGAGGCAGAGCCTGTGCGGGCCGCAGGGGGAGGGTGGGAGGCCAAGGTCTGCTTGCCAGTTCACAGCCTCATCTGCACCAGACAAGGCAAACCAGGGTGCAGGGAGGGTTTCTTTTCTGTCTCTTTTGAGCCGAGGATGAGATGGGAGGGAGGCTGGGGGGTTAAGTTGTCAACAGTGCAGTCTTTGAGGGTGAATCGTCATCATTATCATGATTCGTTATTATTGTTTATGATGATGATGATGATGGTGGTGGCTGTGGTGGTGGGATGGCAACCAGAGCCTTGTGCATGCTAGGCAAGTGCTCTTCCACTGAGCTGCACCCCGAGCCCTAAACTAATTTTTGTGGGCTCTTTCAGTATGTTTTATTCATGAAATTTAATTGAAAAAAGTGGTTTGTAATGAACAGTCGGTATCATCCATGGAACACGACCTTGGTTTACTGAGTTTCACCTACGATGTGTGCGGCACATACAGTCTCCCACCTAGTCGGACCGGGTATTTCATGGTGGAATGTTCGAGGCGTGGTGCATCCCAGCCCCCCAGCGTTTCCCCAACAGTCCAGCTCTGGTGGGAGCGTGAGGGCCGGGTGCCCCGGGAGCAGGCTGAGGCGGGAGGCAGTGGGCATGCTCACTCAGCCAGGAGGAGACAAAGTCAGGGGATGGTGGCAGGGAGCCCTCGGGAGCCGTGGGTCACCTGACTGGAGGGGGGAGGCCCGACACCCAGAGGCCGGATTTAAAAAGGGGTGTGCCCTGGGGCCAGGCCTGGAACCTCCCCCAGCCACACCTGCGTGCTGAGGTCACTCGGGGTGACCCCTTGGAGTGGTGGAGTGCGTTGCTAAATGGGGAGGTGCAAAGCTCCCTGGATCATCGGTGAGCCTCTGGGGGAGGGCTGGAGGCCCCAGTGTCCCTCTCCCACTCCTCCCGGGGGCCCAGGTGGCCAGCTCTGCAGACTGACCTTTCGGCTCTAGCACGGCAGCTGTCCCAGGAGCCCAGCAGCCCCAGCTCCAGGACAGCCGACACAGACCCTGCGAGGGACCTGGAGTCTGTCCTCAGATGCTGTCCAGGCAGCAGACTCCAAGCCTCCTGCTCTGCTCCTTGCTGGCTGCATCTTTGTGGCCAGTGACTGCTTCTCCAGGCCCCCCTGGAGGCTCACTGGGGGGACTCCGCCAAGTCTTGGATGAGTAAGAAAAAGGGAGCAGGCATCTGGCCTGTTATCAAGAGAATCAGTCACCACCCTATTGTTCTGCACTTTCCAGCAGCCACAGACAGCTCAGGGAAAAACAAATACCACAAAAACTCCCTGAAAGCCGTAGGACATGACTTCCCAGTAACTCACCCAGGTCAAGGTCTTTGGGGGCAAACTGGGAGAAATCCACCTGACCAGCTGATCCTACAGACCTGCTGTCCCGTGCCGAGGTGTGATCATCATGACCTGTGTGCACCTGGGGCCTGGGCACCATGTCTCCTGACATTTGTAGTTTATTTTGTAACTTTTAGCTTCTTATGAAGGAAAACTCTAAGTAAAAGCAAAAATGGAAAAGAAAGGAGTCACATGAGACCCCCTCCAGCAGCATGCCCTGTCTCCTCCCCCGCCCCACCACTGGGGGGGGGAGGGCTTAAATAATCTGCTACAGGATTCATTTGTCTGTCTGTTTGTTTTTACCAGGGATTGAACCCAGGAGCACTTAACCACCGAGCCACATCCTCAGCCCTTTTTAATTGACAAGGTCTTGCCAAGTTGCTTAGGGCCTGGCTCAGTTGCTGAGGCTAGCCTCTAACGTGCCATCCTCCTGCCTCAGCCTCCGGAGCCCTGGGATGATAGGTGTGCACTTGCTGTGCTGTTTTAAACCAGATCTCAAGCCATGAGCTCTTTTCACCCAGATTTCCACATGTTGTTTGCTTTAACGCAATCCCTGTCCCCCCAGGAAAAGGAGACCAAGTGGCTGTGGCAGAAGCGCAACACCCGTGAAGGCGGGTCAGCAGCCGGGGCTCTTGGTGGCCGCATTCCCGCTGCTTCCCAAGGGCTCCACTTCCTGTCAGAGAGCAAAGGTGGTCTTCCTCAGCCCGCCAGGCCCGCCGGGCTCCCTGGGGCCATGGCCACAGCCAGGTTTCCAGGGCTCCTTCCAGAGCCGCGGGCCACACGCTGGTCGTATTAATAGCAGGCTGTAGTAGTAGCAGAAACCCGAGCGCAGCTGGGAGGTGAGTCACACAGGCGGGCCCAGGTCTGGCTGCAGCTGACCAGTGTAAGGCGATCTGCGACTCGGAACCTCAGTTTCCTACTCCACAAACTGGGAATAAATCCGGGCACTCTGGGGGCCGGGAGGGTCCAGGGCACACCCTTCCAAATAGGGCCAGGGTGAGGCAAAGCTTCAGGACACGAGAAGACCTCTCCCCAGTGCATCTCCCAGCCCAGAGGGGAGCTGGTCAGGACCCTGGGTCTGAGGGAGGAGGCTGGGCCTGGACCCTGGGTCTGAGGGAGGAGGCTGGG